CACACCAGCTCCAATGTCACACTTTTCTTCCCCAAAAACATTCTTGATTCATAAACTATAGTTCTTTTTATTCTGTATTTTCTGTGAGGTACGTCTTGGATGACCCTTAAATGCAAAAAGTGATTTTGTGCTTAAAACCGTTGGACAGCTCTGGTCTAAAAGCATAAGTTAGTAAACATAAACAGGAAGGTTAAGCAAATGCCACATTAGCAATTTCTATTAACAAAGTGTTACTAATGCTGGAAAATGTTGAACAATCCTTCCTGTTAGTCCAGTGAAAGAGCAAGATAAAATGATTGGTTGGAAGGTTTTGTCCAAGGGCTTGGCTGTGATGAAGCTTTTTTTGGTGAAGAGAGTGGCAGTGAGGCAGAGGAACATAGGGTGAAGATACAAGGTGTCAACTAGCTGGCTGAACGTCCCTGTTTATGGCTGCTTGTAAAGTGGAAGTCCTTCAGGGAAGGAAATCTACTGTCTTGTACTGGTCTGGCTGACTCATGAGTACAGATCTACAGCAACATGGTTGATGGGTCCTGTAAGTGAAGACAGTTTTAGTATGGAAGGGCAAAATGTGTCGGCGCAGGCTTGGAGGGCTGAAGGGCCTGTTCCTCTGCTGCATTGTTCTTTGACTCCCAAATCCATCTATGCTGCAGCTTTCTGCAGTCTTTATCCATTTTAACTTGCCTCTGAAAGGGCTCAGCTCAGGGGCAGTAAGGAGTGGGTGATCAATGTTGGCTTTGTCTGTGAAGCCCACATCCCACAAAAGATTAAAGAAAATGAAAGGGATTGGTGAATGCACAGTCAGCCAGACTGTGAACAAAGGGAAGAGAGAGCTGTGATAATGGGCTAGAGAAGGTTGAGGAGACTAAAACTACAGAAGGAACTTCAAGACAGGATTTTACAAGTGATACTCTAAAACTGAACTGTTTGTTTACCAATATTGTACAAAATGCTTTCCTGTAAAGCAGATTAATTAGTAATACCCTTTTTTGATTTTATTTATTTATTGTCATGTGTACCGAGGTACAGTGAAGAGCATGGTTTATGAGCGGTACAGGCAGATCATAGTAAGCAAAAGGATGTGCAGATCAAGAAAGACTTAGAGGCATACAGGTTACATTGCACAGGGTGTGTGCTAGGCAAGATCAGTGTTAGCAAGATCAATCATTATTTGAGCCTAAAGAGCCCATTCATCAGTCTGATAACGACAGAGAAGAAGCTGTTACTGAGCCTGCTTGTGCGTGTGTCCAGGCTTCTGTATCTTCTGCCTGATGGAAGGGGTTGTAGGAGATCATTACCAGGGTACAAAGGGGTCTTTGATGATGTTTGCCACCTTTCTGTGGCAGCGAGCTGTGTAAATGGAGTCCATGGATGGAAGGTTGGCTTTCGTGATGGTCTGCGCTGTGCAAACCACATTCTGTAGTTTCTTACAGTCCTGGGCAGAGCAGTTGCCATACCAGGCCGTTATGCACCCAGACAGTATGTTTTCAGTGATTCATCTGTAGAATTTGGTGAGGGTCCTTATGGACATGGCAAATTTCCTGAGCCTCCTGAGGAAGAAGAGGCGTTGTTGTGCCTTGTTGACTGTTTGCATTTATGTGGGAAGTCCAGGACAGGTCGTCAGTTATCGTCACTCCAAGGAACTTGATGCTGTTCAATCTCTCAACCTCAGTTCCGTTGATGTCGATGGGGACTTGTTCTCCTCTTTTCTTTCTGAAGTCAATGATCAGTTCTTTGGTTTTGCCGACATTGAGGACAGATTGTTTTCATTGTACCACATCACCAACCCTTTATCTCCCTTCTGTCATTTGACTCATTGTTGTTAGATATCCATCCCACTACGGTGGTGTCATCAGTGAACTTGTAGATGGCGTTTGTTTGGAATTTGGCATCACAGTTGTGGGTGTACAGGGAGTACAGTAGGGGGCTGAGGACGCATCGTTGGGGGGCTCCAGCGTTTAGTGTTATTGTGGAGGAGGTGCAGTTACCTATCCTCGCTGATTGTGGCCTATGGGTCAGAAAGCTGAGGATCCAGTTACAGCGGGCGGAGCCGAGACCAAGATCATACAGTTTTGAGATTAATCTGGAGGGGATAATGGTGTTGAAGGTGGAGCTGTAGTCAATGAGCAGGAGTCTGATGTAGGTGCCTTTGTTGTCCAGATGTTCCAGGGATGAGTGCAGGGCTAGGGATATAGCATCCTCTGTGGGCCTGTCATGTTGGTAGGCAAATTGTAGGGGATCGAGGTGGGCTGGGAGACTGGAATTGTTTACTAATGCCAGAAATACAAAGCAAACCTGCTTTGTTTTTCAGTGTCATAGCTACAGGCTCACTTTATACTGCTGATGGGTGTCCTGCACTTCCTCCTCCTCAGCTACTCTCCATGTCGGCACTGTAATTGGCAACGTGTAAGCTTTTCACTATACTCATTGCATACAAGGTGACAATAAAGGCTATTCCATTCTATTCTATTCTAGTCTTCTATTCTGTATCTCTGGCAGGAAGAACTGTGCAGTCACTCAGTGGTTGTGCAGAATGTAGTTGGCCATGATAACTTGCGAAAAACCCTATGGCAAGTCTGACATCTTATCCGGGTTATTTCAGCCTGGTGAAAGCACATTGAACGACTGAATTACATTGTGTGGCGCAGTGATCCGTGGATATCCTTCATCCTTCCAGAAGCCATACTGCGTACTCTCATGGTCACTTGTACTGAAGGGAAAGGAGATTGAGCAGAATACAGGCATCGCAACGACTGCCAGAATATAGATGAGAATGATATGCTGATTATATTCATACACTAGCTGGGCATTGAGGGAACGTTTGTAGCATATCTCCACATTTTCATGCCATGCCTACATATCAACCAGGGTGCAGTTAGTGCCAACCTGCTCCATGCTTCTGCCTGGAAAGAGAGATAGTAAAATGTCCTTTAGAGAAGACAAGGCTGTCCATATTTGGTCCGGTGTAAATGTGACCCATAGAAATCTGGTTGGCTATTAACCGCAGTATGAAGTTGTCTTACATTGTCATATAGCTCAAGGTAGCCATCATATGGAAGTGCCAGTGTTTGACTGGGGTGGACAAAGTCAGAAATCACACGACACCAGGTTATAAGTCCAACAGGTTTATTAAAAGTCACAAGCTTTCGGAGCACTGCTGCTTCGTAAGCTGAAGTATTATGTCTTCACCTGACAAAGGAGCAGTGCTCCAAAGCTTGTGAATTTAAATAAACCTGTACACTATAACCTGTTGAATCAGAGATAGTAGGAACTGCAGATGCTGGAGAATCCGAGACGACAAGGTGCAGGGCTGGATGAACACAGCAGGCCAAGCAGCATCATAGGAGCAGAGAGGCTGATGTTTCGGGCCTAGACCCTTCATCAGAAAAGGGGGAGGGGAAGGGGGTTCTGAAATAAATAGGGAGAGAGTGGGAGGCGGATAGAAGATGGATAGAGGAGAGGATAGGTGGAGAGGAAACAAACAGGTCGAAGAGGCGGGGATAGGGCCAGTAAAGGTGAGTGTAGGTGGGGAGTTAGGGAGGGGATAGGTCAGTCCCGGGTGGACGGACAGGTCAAGGGGGCGGGATGAGGTTGGTCGGTAGGAGATGGAGGTGCAGCTTGAGGTGGGAAGAGGGGATAGGTGGGAGGAAGAACAGATTAGGGAGGCAGGGACGAGCTGGACTGGTTTTGGGATGCGGTAGGGGGAGGGGAGATTTTGAAGCTTGTGCCCGAAACGTCAACCTCTCTGCTCCTATGATGCTGCTTGGCCTGCTGTGTACATCCAGCCCTGCACACTATAACCTATTGTCGTGTGACTTCTGACTTGGTTCGAGGGGACAGGGTATTAAGATGGGCAACAAATCTTGGTCCAGCCAGCAACATCCTCATTCCTGTCTTCGTTTCCAGAGTGTGAATGATCTTCTTTCTACAATGGTGAACTCTAAACTGTAATACATGGGAGATATCCTTTCGGTGAGATCATAGCTGATATGATAATCATCAACTCTAATAATGAAAAATCTGTCCCAGCCTCGAATACACCCAGCCCACTGCAGGAAAAAAAGAAAGCCACAGATCAAGTACCCTTTGATAGAGGAAATTCTTCCTCATTTCTGTTTTAAACCTGAAAGCCCTTATTCTGAGATTATGCCCTTCAAAGCTAGACCCTCCCACAAGGGGAAACAACCTGTCAGATTACACTGTCATGTCACCTAAAAATCTTGAATTGATTTTTAAGTTTCACTTAGATGTCTCCTCATTCTTCTAACTGCCAAAACCACCTTGCTCAAACTCTCCCCATGAGGAAATCCCTTCACACCTGGAATCAACTAAGTAAATCTTCTCTGGACTGCCACCAATGCCAGTATATCTTCCCTTAGAAAGGGGCTCAAAACAATTCACAATATTCCAGCTATAGTCTATCTAGTGCCTTGGATAGTTTTAGCAAGATCTCTCTATTTTAATACTCGATTCCCTTTGAAGTGAAGGCCAAGTTCCCCATTACCCATTAAACTTGGTAGTAGCTTTTTGTGGTTTATGCACAAAGACACCAAAATCCCTCTGTGCTGCAGCTTTCTGCAGTCTTCATCCATTTAAATAATATTCTGCTCCTCAATTCTTCCTGCCAAAATGCATAACCTCACATTTCCCCATGTTATATTCCATCTGCCAACGTTTTGCCCTCTCACCTAATTTGTCTATATTGATTTTTAGACATTTTGTGTCACCCTCATTACTTTCTTTCTCATCTATTTTTGTATCATCCGCAAACTTAGGGACAGTGCATTCACTTTCCTTATCCAAGTCATTAATATATGATAAATAACTGTGGCCCTAGCACTGATCCCTGTGTCATTCCATTGGTTATCAGTTGCCGTTCTGAAAATGTCACTTTTATCCCATCTCTGTCACTCCTGAGGACTGCACTGAGCACCTGGGCTCCATTTAATGTCAGACGTTGGTCATTTTATCTGATACCTGCACTGCCCAACCTCTGCTATGAGATGGAGCCTGGTGAATCCAACAGCACTGTGCATGTGAGTGTACTATAATTTGAAATGAAAAGTATTGTATGTTACATTAGTGATGCATTTAATGTTGCAAGTTATTTCAGCTGGGTCTATACAGTTTTATATGTAAGCGTTATAGTGTTTGAAATTTACACTGCTTTTCCCATCTAACACTAGCCAGACCATTGATTCCTTTGGAAATCCATGACTTGTTTAAAGTTATTTCACTGCAAATTAAGGTTCCAATTCTGAAAATCATGACTTTAAATGAAGATTTATGTAATCATAGAATCCCTACAGGCTGTTTGGCCCATCGAGTCCACACCAACCCTTCAAAGTGCATCCCACCCAATTGCTGTAACCCTGCATTTCCCATGGCTAATCCACTTAGCCTGTAAATCCCTGGACACTATGGGAAATTTAGCATGGCCAATCTACCTAACCTGAGCATCTTTAGACTGTGGGAGGAAACCCACACAGTCACAGGGAGAATTTGCAAATTCCACATGGACAGTTGCCCAGGGGTGGAATTGAACCTAGATCTCTGGCATTGTGGGGCAGAAGTGCTAACAACTGAGCCACTGTGCTGCCCTTGTTGTAGAGAAAAAAAGTGTATGTGTTATTGTATTTGAAAGCTTCAGGTCATAGAGCTTTTGCTGGTATGGGCCCACCCTTGTGCAGAATTGTTGAAGCCCAAAAACCTGTTGAAGACAAAGGCTGTAATTCAGTGACTCTTATCACCTAGGCCCTGCATTCGCAGGTCTAGTGTCAAGGTGAATGTAGGTTAACAACTAATGTACTTGTCACCCATGTGTTGCATTTAGTGTAGCCAAGCTGAACAAAACCATTCCCACATAACTAATGGCTGTTCTAGAGCCTTCATCTCTCCAGTCATGTGGAAACTTTCCTCAAATCCCCAGCATCTTACTGTTGCAAATCAGCAGTGTTGTTGATATCTCTCTAAATAGCATTGTTGGGGGATTCTATCTGACTGCTGAGCGTATGCTGAGCTCTGTGAGGTCAGATGTGGTATCGATGATGAAAAATGAGTGTTACATATCAGCGTCCCAAAATGTACAGCTCATACCAAAGTGTAAGCATATGATACAATTGCCATTTTTGTACTGAAGCGTCACCCATAACGTGACAGTGTGGCTGCTATGCATCCAAATCCTGGGTATACGCTCTCAAATGCTGGGAAAAGGCTCTGGACAAGATTCAAAGTAAAATACTGTGGATGGCAGAAACCTGAAACTAAAAACAAGGTGGTTAGCTCAGTTGGCTATACAGTTGCTTTGCAATACAAAGTGCTAATAGTGTGGGTTCAATTCTCACACTGGCTGAGGTTACCATGAAGGACTGTCACCTCAATCTTTGGGGTGGCATGGTGGCTTATTGGTTAGCACCACTGCCTCACACTGCTAGGGACCCAGATTTGATTTCTCCCTTGTGGAGTTTGCACATTCTCCCTTTGTCTGTATGGGTTCCCTCTGGGTGCTTCAGTTCCTTCCCCCCATCGTGCAGGTTAACTGGCTTGATCATGCTAAATGGCCCATAGTGTGCAGGTTGGGTGTATTAGTCCTGGGAAAATGCAGGATTACAAGGACAGAGTCGGGGGGAGGGTCTGGATAGGATGCTCTTTGGAGGGTCAGTACGGATTCAATGTGCTGAATAGCCTGCTTCCATACTGTAGGGATTCCATGAAAAACAGAAAGTGTTGGAAATACTCAGATCTATCAGCTCTACAGAAAGAGAAACAGAGGTAATGTTTCACATTGAATATGACTCTCCTTTGACATCTTGTGGTTGCTTTGTGCCACATGAACTTTGATTTTCAGGATGGTGAGATTTACCTTTCTGCTATCTGAAGAGGCAAGTGGGGAATGTATCACTGCCTCATAGCTATCTCATACTCCAATGAGTATACATTTGGTGGAGATGGGGCATCCCATCTCTCATCACCCCCCCACATCCCCTCCCCACCATCTCAGGAGAAGGGTTGTGTGCAGAGAACTGCTAGTCCCAGCAGCCCCACAAGGTTCAGTGGACGGGCCCATTACTGCAAGTAGTCCCCAGAGAGTCATAATCCCAGGGTAAATTGGTGAGAGCTGAGGCGGTGGTGGGGGGTAGGGTGGGCGGAGTTGTGTGTGCTTAAGTCAAGGAGGAGAAGTGAGTCTCACCATATTGGGAATCAGAAGGGGTGGGCAGAACAGAGTTGAGCGTTGGTGGAAAGGCCAGTGGGTGGGAAACAGAGCATCCATAATGTTTGGTGATGGGGTGAGCTGCCGATGCCTGTGCTATACGAAAGCTGTTGATGGAAACATCTTCTCTCTACAGCGTCTCACCCAAGTCCTGAATGTGGTGGTTTTATGGCTTTGTGCGCTTCCACCCTGCCCCTGAACTCCTCCCTCCAGCACGATGGCCTCAACTGGAGAAAGAGTGGGCCAGCTGGCCAAGGCCTTTGTCCATCCCATCTCCCAATTATGAAGAGGCTTGTGGGAAGGCTGTGTGAGATGATTTCAGTGTCTTCTCTGCCTCCACCTACAATCTCCCTGATGGGAGAATGCAGAATCCCGTCCCTAATTTTTGTTGTCAGACTTGTTTGTTATTCTACCCCTAACAGTCCACTTGGACAAGCGTTTTGTGACTTCACTTCAGTGATGACCTCTCCCTTTGCCTTTTGTTGATTGACATCGTTGTTATTGAATCTCTCCCAGGCCTCCACCTGATTCCAGATCTCCTATGTCCACTTCCCCCCTTACAGCAGCGTGAACTCCCATTGTATTTTTATCTTTCAGTTTGTAATGAGAGTTAAATTTGGCTTGAAGCGTTAGCTGTGTATCTCCTTGCTCAGATGCTGCTTAGTATTTCTATAGCTTTCTGTTTTTACTTCAGAGGATTTGCAGGATTTTCTGGGATGTTTTTCAATCTCTCCCACCCCATTGTGGTATAATAAATGCCCGGGTTCCAAATTGAACTTTCTGTACTTTGTTTCATGTCCAGAATTTTGGATAAATTGTTAACTATGTGTTCCGCGAACCCGTACCCCTAATTCTCATTGCCATGTATCTGCCTGGGTTCATCACTCCTTGTGACTCTCTGGGGACTGCTTGCAGTACTGATCCTGTCCACTGTACCTCGTGGCGTTGCTAGGACCAGCAGCTCTCTGTGCAGGAGCTTTTTTACCCTCGAGTTGGTGAGGGGAGGGGTGAGGCGGATTGCCCCACCTCCGCCAAATGTGAGAAGTCATGTTCCTGGTGTTGGCCTTTGGCATCCGTTTCCTAGGTCGGCAAAGATAAATTTTTCAGAGCCACTTCTGCCAAATTCTAACTTCCCGAATATGTTGTTTCTTTCTCTCCTGCAGTTTGAAAGTGCTGAGGACCTGGAGATAAATGACGAGAATGTACAGCGAGGTCAATGGGCCTTGAAAGCTGACTACTTGCTCTCAGTGATTGGCTACACTGTGGGACTGGGTAATATCTGGCGATTCCCTTACCTGGTTTACAAAAATGGTGGAGGTACTGTAGCAATTTTACAATAAAAAGAAACAAATGAAGGGGAATAATTTATTGATTTATACAGACAAAATGGTCATAACCCCCACCACCGAGACTGTGACATAGTATTAACATCTCTCGCAAGTAATCTAGAGAATCAGGCTGTTGAAACTCTGGCCGCATGGGTTCAAACAAACCCCACCGTTCACATTAAGTTCAATCAATTAATAAAGAAATTTGGAATTGAATGCTTGGCTCCATATTGGTGACCATGAAACTGAATCAAATTTTTTAAAAATGTAAAATCTTTACCTTTGCTGGTGCGTGGCTCCAAATCTGTGAATTTTAGCTGCACCCACATTCGATTAACAAACAAAAAATAAATTCCTGAATTGTACAGACAGTAAAATATTGCAAAACATTAGCAGAAGAACATGGGGACAGAGTCCTTGTGCATGTTTAAGGCTGAGATAGATTCTCGATCGGTCGTGGACTCAAGGGCTATGGAGAAAGGGTGGAAATGTGGACATGAGTAATGTCGGATTAGCCATGATCCTGTTGAATGGCAGAGCAGGCTTGAGGGGCCGAATGGCCTACTCCTGTTGCTATTTCTTGTGGTCTTCTGTTTTAAGAATGATTGCGTTTCTAAATTCTAGAAGTGGGCTTTAGGAAGCAGGGGAAAGTACAACTTTATTAATCAAATGAGAAAAATTATCTGTTCACTGTTAGTAAGGGCTTGCTGACCAAAATTGGGTGCCATTTTTCTTGCGTCACAACCATAACTACACTTCAAAAGTGCTTAAATGGTTGTGAAACACTTTAGGAAATACTGAGATTATGAGGGATACTATGTAAATGCAAGCCTTTCTTTTTGCACGGTGCCTGGGTGTTGGATGTAATATTGTAGGTTGTAAATCTGAAAGTCCAGACTGGTTATTTATTTTTCCATGTTGGGAAATAAGAGAAGTTTCAGGGCTTTGTCTTCTGTGACCACCCAAGGCAGTTCAGTTTGTGGTGGGAAGTGCCAAATCATGAAGTCAAACAGCCTTGAGCTAGAAAATAAAATTGGCAGACTTGTCAGATACTGCAAATTGCTGCTTGTGCCGTAATGCCCCTAAGATCAAGTGCCAACAGCCAGTGAAGGGGCTTGCTGACCAGCTCCCTGGCATTAAAGCAGGGGGGAGGGCATCAGAAAGGATGGGCCTGTGTCAGTGGGTGACAGGGAAGAGCATGTGGTGCTAACTGCTACCTGTTTCCCAGCCCATAAAGGCACTGTCATTATTCTCCTCTTGCTGCGTTATAGAGGGGCTGTGTAAGTTCAATGGAATTTAAGGGCCTAAGTGACACAAGCACGCAGCTCTGAGTTACTTCCCACTCTCTTCCTGCATGCAATGTGTCATGCTTTTTAAAAAGTTAAGTTACCTGGACAGTTTGGCTAAGTGGCCAATTGTGTTGGCCTTGTTACCTCTTAACTACTGCTTAGTCACTGGACTATTCTTAACCAAACCAGGGTTGGCCTGACCCACCTATTGACCATTACACCTGGCTCAAATTTGGTGAAATCCAAACTATAACACAGCCTCTATCTCAAGGCTACAGTTTCGGAGAGAGTGCCTACTCTGCCAGTGCATATACAGTTGTGAAAATTCCACCACCACAGTAACCTTTCTCTGCTCTAACTATTGTCTTCCAGGTGTTTTTTTAATTCCCTACATCGTCATGATGATATTTGCTGGGATGCCGATATTTTTCATGGAGTCGGCTTTGGGGCAGTTTGCCAGCCTCGGGCCTGCTCAAGTGTGGAAAGCTGTGCCCATCTTACAAGGTCAGTGTTTACAGGCAGCAACACAATCTCAGGGGCTATTCGAAACAATGGTTTTCAATTTGCTTTGGGTGTGTTCCTTCTGTGAGACTTCAAACAAGTAAGTCATGAACCTTTTACAAACACATGTTCGAGGTGTGTTGGCACATTCCCAGTGCCTCGGGATAGCAGCCCCGTACACTGGCATTATGGCATTGGGAGCATGAGGTGTTAGACTCCCAGCTCCATGCCATTTCTAAGAGCACTGCTAGGTTGAAAATATGAAAGATCAAATTTTGTCACCATTTTCCATTACAATTATACTAAGTTCCTTTGGGAACAGTAAAATTTTACGTCCTGCTCCACCACCCGCCCCAGGTGCTTTCTGGCAGTTGGGAGTGCAATGGAATGGGATACCTGTCAAACGCTTAGCATCATTGTTTCAGCAGGTGGGGATAGACGTTACACGGTGAGTCTGCCTGCTATACCTGGGGAGGGTGCAATGTGGCAGTGGTGAGCTAATGGGTGGTCTTGGCTTTTGCTCTCCATGAGGCAGGATGACTCACCTCCAAAAACTGCTGGCTAACCAAAGAGCTGCCAGCTCCTGAACTATAGCAGTGCCAATGTAAACAGTGGCCACCAAACATTCAAACAAGTTGGACCTCCCGATCCTTTCAGCCTGCTCTGCCATTCAATAAACATCATGGCTAATCTGATGGAACTGAACAGGGGTGCAGGGTGGAGCTGAATGTGGGTGCAGGGTGGAGCTGAATGTGGGTGCAGGGTGGAAATGAATGGGGGTGTAAGGTGAGGGGGATAATGAGGGACTCCATTTTCAGACTGGAGGGTTATTTGAACAGGCCTTGCAGGCTTGAAGATTCCCTGTGCGGTGCAGAGTCTCCAGTCAGGAGGCATATGCCGTCTTCCACAACACAATCTGGATTTGTACTTTGCCATGTTCTCCATTTAGAATCTTGAAAAGTTCAACCTCTTTGTCTAATCATCACTTCCATTTTGTCATGCAATTTAATGACTTCCTCCTGCAGTAACAGCCATTTTCCGGCACATGCTGCGTGTCTGTGTAAAGTTTTATATACAACTTCTGAAAACCTCATCTGTCAGTGCCGCAAAGAGGCGAGTGAAATATCCACACCTCCAGGTTCCAGTTGTCAGTGCAGGATATTTAATGTTTTAATTCTGAGGACTGGCTGGATTTGGCTCTCCTCTGTCCTGTTAACTGCCCTCCTTTGACAACCCAAGTGCACAGTTGCACTGTTGGCGTCAGCTATTGTTTCATTAATAACAGTTTTATGTCTGAGCTGGAAGATTTGTGAGTTCAAGCCCCATTCCAGAGAGTTGAGAATGTAATCTAAGCTGTGTGAGGTTTCACTGCAGTGTTTGGTGGGTTTAAAATGATTTATCTTGAGTAAATGGCAGTAACATCTGAGTTTTGTGTAAAGAGTTACTTTCTGAAAAACAGATTGAAAACTACAATTGGGCTTACCTGCAAAGGATTAGCTCCAAGTGTTTTATAGGCCTGCGTGGCTGGTCAAGCCATTACATGTTAGCTGCGATGTAAATGTTCTTTTTATGATGACTTTAAATAATTTTTCAGGGGAGCACCTGGGTTATTATATAGACAGGATCATATTGCCCTACAGAAATTCTCCTGGTATTAATTACCCAGACGTCGTAGAGTCACAGAGCGGTACAGCACGAAAACAGACCTTCAGTCCAACTCGTCCATGGTGACCAGATATCTTAAATTAATCTAGTCCCATTTGCCACCATTTGGCCTGTATCCCTCTCAACCGTTCCTATTCATATACCCATCCAGATATCTTTTAAATGTTGTAATTGTACCAGCCTCCACCACTTCCTCTGGCAGCTCATTCCATACATGTGCCACCCTCTGCATGAAAAAGTTACCCCTCAGGTCCCTTTTAAATCTTTCCCCTCTCATCTTAAACCTATGCCCTCTAGTTTTGGACTCTGCTACCCTGGGGAAAAGACCTTAGCTATTCAGCCTATCCATGTCCATCATGATTTAATAAACTTCTATAAGGTTACCCCTCAGTCTCCGACCCTAAAGGGAAAATAGCCCCAGCCTATTCAGCCTCTCCCTATAGCTCAAACCCTCCAACCCTGGCAACATCCTTGTAATCTTTTCTGAACCCTTTCAAGTTTCATGTCATCTTTCCTGTGGCAAAAAGATCAGAATCAAACATAATATGCCAAATGTGGATTGACCAATGTCCTGTACTGCCGCAACTTGACCTCCCAACTCCTATGAACCTGCACTCCAAGGTCTCTTTATTCAGCACAGTCCCAAGGACCTTACCATTAAGTGTATAAGTCCTGCCCTGGTTTGCCTTTCCAAAATGCAGCACTTCACACTTAAAGTCCATCTGCAACTCCTCAGCCCATTGGCCCATCTGATCAAGATCCCATTGTACTCTGGGGTAACCTTCTTGTGTGTCCATTACATCACAAACATTGGTGCCATCTGCACACTTACTAATCATACCTCCTATGTTCACATCCAAATCATTTTATATAAATGACAAAAAGCAGTGGATTCAGCATCGATCCTTGTGATGCACCACTGGTCACAGGCCTCCAGTCTGAAAAGCAACACTCCACCACCACCCTGTGTCTTCTACCTTCTAGCCAGTTCTGTATCCAAATGGCTAGTTCTCCCTGTATTCCATGTGATCTAACCTTGCTAACCAGTCTACCATAAGGAACCTTGTCGAACACCGAACTGAAGTCCATCTAGTTCATGTCTACTGCTCTGCCTTCATCAATCCTCTTCGTTACTTCTTCAAAAAACTCAATTAATTTAGTGAGACATGATTCCCCATGCACGAAGCCATGTTGACTATCCCTAAACAGTGCTTGGCTTTCCAAATACATGTAAATCCAGTCCCTTAGCATCCCTTCCAAAAACTTGCCCACCACTGATGCCAGGCTCACTGCCTACAGTTCCCTGGCTTTTCCTTACCACCTTTCTTAAATAGTGGCACCCTCCAGTCTTCCGGTGCCTTACCTGTGGCTATTGATGATACAAATATCTCAGCAAGGGGCTCAACAATCACTTCTCTAGCTTCTCACAGAGTTCTAGAGTATACCTGATCATCTCCAGAGGATTTATCCACCTTTGTGCGTTTCAATTTTTAAAGATGAATCAAATTGTTGCTCATACAATGGAGTAGAAGTCCGACCTGATGCTATTCACCTTCCATGAGCTTTTTAATCAGGTTTTACACCCATCTCCCTGTATTTCATTCTGTAGAATTCCCCTGGGTAACTCTACAATGTCCTTGCAGCATTCTTCAAGTCAGCTTTCTTAGGGTTCATTATTTATTCTGCTCTGTGATCAATTATTTATGCTTGCAGCTGCTCAAAATAGTTATTCCATTCAACCATTGTAATTCCTTTTCATGCTATAGAAATGTGGTATTTCGTTATGGTCCTATGTACTAATTGACACATCTAATTGGAGGTTTGCTGCAATATAGTTAACTGAAAGATTCAACACCACTTCTAATTGAAGTTCTTTGTTGGTTTTAGGACCTCTTAACCATCTATAGGACAATGGGCCTCACTATCAAACACACACATGGTGTGGGAGACCCTTGCGTTCAATCACGGTCAAATGATCTTGTTTATCAGGAAGAAAGAAGCTTATAACAGCTTCACATATTTGAGCAATAATAGCTTCACATTACTTTGACTTTTTTGTTCAGGTCTGCACAGAATGCTGGTTTATAAAATGTAGTCAAGATTTTAACTAGCGTCAAACCTGTAATCTGGTAGTTGGAGGGAATGCTGCTCTATCAAAGGTATCACATTCAAATGAGACGTCGAGGTGAAGTCTTGTCGACGTTCTTGGGTAAAAGATTATATAATAATATTTTGGAGAAGAGTTGCTGAGTTTTCCCACTGTCCTTGGTCGATACTTATCCCTTAAACAGCAGTTCAACAACAGATCATCACATTGTTATCAGGAAGGAGCTAGATGTCGTTCTTAGGCTGAAAGGGATCAAAGGATATAGGGAGAAAGTGGGAATGGAGACTGAATAGGATGATCAGCCATGATGATATTGAATGGCAGAGCAGGCTCAAATAGTCCTGTTCCTATTTTCCATGTTTCTACTCTATTGGAATTTGTTGTGTGCATATCAGATATGAAGTTTCCCATGTTAAAACAGTGACAGCATTTCAGAAAGTACTGAATTGGCTGTAAACTGACAAGTACTATTTGGGTTCTCCCTGCCTTTCTTAGAATTAACCATTTGCAACAGAATAAATCTGTTTAGTCTGACCGGCTTGCACACTTTTGAATATTAAAGGGTTTGCCCTTACTATTCTATTCTGAACTCCTTTTTGTTCACAATTGAAGGTATGGGACTCCTGACCTTTTTTGCGTCAACATTTCAAGGCATATATTACAACTGCATTGTTGCCTACTGCCTATTCTACTTCTTTATTTCCTTCCAAACACCTCTGCCATGGCAAGAATGCTACAGTTGGTGGGAAAATGATAAAATCTGCCGCAAGACTCCCACAGGTACTGTGATAATTTCAAGAATGTATAAAGCCATTGTCTCTGGTGATTTGTCATTCTGTTTTGTTGAGAAGCAGTTGGTATTGATTGCCCACAGAAAGGCTATAAATAATGCTTCCATAAATGCAAAGAGGTAGGCTGAAGATGTCAGAGAGTGAAGTAATATTGGTATATTTGTGATATCCTATAAGGAGTTATCGTATGGATGTGTAATGAATCTATTACTGACACCAACAAGATAATGGACAATATCTATAATCCTGGTTCTCACAGAAGTCACATCTTGGGATCTACTTCCTTCCAAACATTGCCGGACTTGATATTTACCTGTTCCAACGCCAGCATGCCACTGCTGTAGTATGTAAGTTTAACAGAAAGTTACTGCGACTGCATCCTCCCCTCAATCATCTATCTCTGGTAATGACTTAGAAAACCATTAAGTTCAGGTTTCTTTCAAATCTTCCTGACACAGATATAGATTGCCAGTCCTTCAGCATTGCTGAGCTGATATTCATTGCCTAAAACCCTTGTGAGGTGCAGTATGAACATTGCAAAGGGAAGCAGTTCAAGTTCTCTTGCTTATACACACTAATTAATGCTACAATTCCAGCCAAAGTGGATTCTAGTCCCTCTAAATGCATGAGGAGGCTTCAGGCTAATCCGCATCTAACAACCTGCTCTGAAGACTTTGCTCACATTTTGACAGCTGTTACAAATTCCACTACGACAGCTGACCCCAACCCAAAGTCAAAGCCAATAACATTTTAAAACAATCAACAGCACTGTAAATAAAATAGCCTGCAACTTGTCAGTATGATCTGCAGGTTCTGAGGAAGGGTCACCGGACCCGAAACGTTAACTCTGCTTTTTCCTTCACAGATGCTGCCAGACCTGCTGAGCTTTTACAGCAACTTTGTTTTTACAGCATCCGCAGTTCTTTTGGTTTTTATTTTTTATGATCTGCGTATGTTTGTTTATTTTAGCACAATCCAATTGTTTGGTCTGACCAGTGGTGTTGCTTAACTGTGAAAGAAAAGACAATTGGCAGCATTCAGTTCATAGTGTTCCCTCTAAGTTTCTTATTGACTTTGTGGCCTCTGAGGTCCCCACTTTATTGTATATCTTTCTCTTTTTATAATGCACTAGGATCATTGTTATACCTGTGCTTTAAAACAACAGAAGAAAAAAAGTAACAAAAAGAAACTGGAGAGCTGAATACAAAGTGAAAATCTTATTTTCACTTTAAAGATTATAAGTGTTCACTAATTCTACTCACCAGTCCGTTGCTGTTCATGCAAAAATCAACCAAACACCTCTTTTTCCTTTTACTGCTGATCGCCTTGAGATGCTCAATTCTAGAACTCTTGTTCTAAGTCTCACTATAGTGCTCAGCTGCATTAATTTGGTTACAAATACATATTCCCAAAACAAAACACCTATCTAAGTTAGTTAATGAGGATCCAGTTCCAGCCACTTCTTAATTAGCATGCTCTTTCACTGTATCCCTTGAAAATGAATCTGCTCCAAGCAGCATTTTAAACATTAAATCCAACTACAAATTACAATTGAGATTAGGTTTACACAAATTGAAGATTTTAGACACCTTGACAACAAGGTGCAGAGCTGGATGAACACAGCAGGCTAAGCAGCATCATAGGAGCAGAAAGGCTGATGTTTCGGGCCTAGACCCTTCATCAGAAATGGGGGAGGGGAAGGGGGTTCTGAAATAAATAGGGAGAGAGTGGGAGGCGGATAGAAGATGGATAGAGGAGAGGATAGGTGGAGAGGAAACAAACAGGTCGAAGAGGCGGGGATGGAACCAGTAAAGATGAGTGTAGGTGGGGAGTTAGGGTGGGGATAGGTCAGTCCCGGGAGGACAGACAGGTCAAGGGGGCGAGATGAGGTTAGTAGGTAGGAGATGGGGGTGCGGCTTGAGGTGGGAAGAGGGGATAGGTGGGAGGAAGGACAGGTTAGGGAGATGGGGACGAGCTGGGCTAGTTTTGGGATGTGGTAGGAGGAGGGGAGATTTTGAAGGTTGTGAAATCCACATTGATACCATTGGGCTGCAGGGTTCCCAAGCGGAATATGAGGTGCTGTTCCTGCACCCTTCGGGTGGCATCGTTGTGGCACTGCAGGAGGCCCAGGATGGACATGTCGCCTGAGGAATGGGAGGGGGAGTTGAAATGGTTCGCGACTGGGACACCTTTAGACACCTTGTTACCCAGCAAATGCATGCGCTCGTTCATTTGCTGTCCCAGTGTAAACACATTCCCTCTATTATCCAGGAAGTTTTTCTGTCATACTGTGAATTAAAATAATTCAACATAAGTACAGAAATATCGATAAGTTAATTTGTAAATCCTTTCAGACTCATAAATGAGACTTTTCATCCCAGGCAACATCCTGGTGAATCTCTTCTGCATCTTTACCAGAACAATCACGTCTTTCCGTTAGTGTGGCAACTAGAACTGCGCACAATATTTCATCTATGGCCTAACCAATATTTTATTAAGTTGTAAAAAGACTTTCTTGCTGCTATATTCTATGCCCTGGCAAATGAAGGCAAGCATCCTATGTGCCTTCTGCCTGTCTACCTGTGCTGACACCTTCGGGGATCTATGGACTTGTACACCAAGGTCCCTTTGCTCCTCAGTGCTCCCCAGGTACCAACCATTCATTGTGTATATCCTCTTGTTATTAGGTCTCCCAAAATACATCACCTCACACATCAGGATTAAATTCTATCTACTGTTGCTCTGCCCAATTTACCAGCTGATCAATGTCAGACTGGAACCTGGGACTATCCTCCTCACTATCAGCAATACCACCAATTTTGGTATCATCAGCAAACTTATTATTTATAACTTCTACATTGCATCCAAATTGTTAATGTACCGAAACAAGCAGCAAGGGTCCCAGCACTGATCCCTTTGGTATATTTTTAGCCACACGCTTCTGACCACAAAAACAACCCTCCACAAACTCTTTGCCTCCTATTTGTAAGCCAATTTTGTATCCAGTTTGACAATTTGCCTTGGATCCTATGGGCTGTTTTCTCTTGGAGCAGCCTTCCATGTGGGAGCTTGCCAAAGGCCTATTGAAGTCCATGTAAACCACATCAACCGCATCAATATATTTAGTCACTTCTTCAAAAAACTCAGTTAAATTTTGTGATATGGTATCTCCCTCTAACCTATCCATGTTGACCATCCCTGATTGATCCCTGCCTTTCCAAGTGTTGATTAATTCTGTCACTCAGGACTTTTTCCAATAATTTCCCTATCACTGATGTCAGATTAACCGCTCTGTAATTACCTAGCCTATCCCTGTTGCCTTCCTTGAACAAAGGAACCACACTAACTATCCTCCAGTCATCTGGTACTTCACCTGTGGCCATAACTCTGCCAGGGCCCTAGCAATCTGCTCACTTGCCTCCCATAGCAGCCTAGGATAGATCTCATCAAGCCCTGGGAATTTATGCACCTTTGTGCCTGCTGAAACATCTAATCCATCATCCTTATTCATCTTAACATGTTCTAGAATTTCACTATCCTCAGCTACAATGTGTTTCTCCTCTGTGAATACAGGTAAGAAATATTAATTTAAAGATCTTAAATCATGTCCCCTGGCTCCACAAACAGATTATCCTCCTTTGGTCTCTAATAGTTCCCACTCTCTCTGTGGTAATTCTCTTGCTGTTATTATATTTACAAAATGCCTTGGGTTTTTTGTTAATCCTATCTGCCAAGAATATTTCATGGCTCCTCTTTGACCGACTAATTTTATTAAGTACCCCCTACACTGTGTGTACTGCTGATGGGCCTTCCCTGTTTTTAATGCATCAAACCTGACTTATATTTCCTTCTTTTTCTTTATCAAACTCTCAATATCCCTTGATATCCAGGAATCCCTGGACTTGCTGCCCTTACTCTTCATTCTTCGAGGAGCACGCTTGCCCTGAACTGTCACTATATTACATTTAAAAGACTTTCACTTCACAAATGTAGACTTACCTACAATCAATGTTCGTCAGATCCCCTCTAATGATATTGAAATTGGCCTTCCCCCAATTAACTTCCGCACTATCCTTATCCTTCTCCATAATTACTTTGAAACCTATAGAGTTATGGTCACTGTCATCTCTCCTGGATGCTTTTTAAAAATTCTATTCTGTCTAATCCTTTCACGCTAATGCGATCCCAGTTAATGTCAGCAAAGTTGAAATCCACTACTACTATAACCCCATTATTCTCAAACCTCTCTATGATTTGCCCATGTATCTGCTCCTCTATCTCCCTGTGACTGATGGAAGGCCTGTAGTATAATCCTAGCAAAGTGATCACCTCTTTTGAATTTCTAAGGTCTATCCAGATGGTCTCATTTGAAGAGCCTTCTAAAACATCCTTCTCATTACTGCAGTGATGGTTTCCTTTAGTAATAATGTAACGGCCCCACCCTCTTACATCCCCACTCCCCCCACCCACCAACAACATGTTTGAAATTGCTTTATCTTGGAGTGTTGAGCTGTCAGTCCTGCCCTTCCTTCAGCCATGTTTCAGTGATTGCAGCAATATCGTATACTCGCGTGCTGCTCAATGCTCTACATTCATCCTCCTTACCAGTCAGGCTCCTTGCATTAGAATGGATATAATTTAGCTTTCCAGTCCTCTTACATGCCTTATCATGTCTATGTCTTTTCCACTTGCTAGATTGTTTCAGTGTTCCTTCTATACCTGATTGAGCCTTGCTCCCAACTTCACATCCACTCTGTGTGTCATCCCCTACCAAATCAGTTTAAAACGTCTCCAACAGCATGAGCAAACTTTTAGCAAGTATATTGGACTATTTCCACTTCACACTTGTACAGCTGACCCCAGAAACTTGAGGGAATAAATAAAACAATTTTGATAGGTGGATAAGTGCATTAAAGGCTAAAATACTTAAGATACTCTCAGAGACATTATTATTTTAGAAGAATTTAAAAGTTTGCTCCCGTCTATAAT